TTTGCGTTTTGTTCTTCTGTTTTTAATGAAAATAATTGGTTTTCTGATTGGAACCGCAGAATAGTGGTAAAAACGCAATACTTATCAATTGTTGTTTAATGCGTTCTGCGATTTTCTTTAAAATGCTTGCTTGGGTGTGTTTGTTTTACGTTGTTGCTTTTTTCTGCCGTGCGCTTTGCAACAAGTAGCAAAACACAGTGTGTTTTGATAGGTTTTTATACAAAGTGATAGTTTCGCCTCGGTGAAACGTTCAGTTTTGATAATGTGCGGGCTGCGAAAACCAGCCCGCACAGCGTTCCCCCCTCTCTCTCTATATATATATATATAAGCACGCACGTAAGACACTAAACGTTCGTGCCCAAAGAGTAGGCCAATCTATAGGCACACACGTGAAACACAATGGATTCGTGCCCCAAGAAAAGGCCAATCTATTGGCACATACGTTTAACACAAAGGATTCGCGCCCCAGGGAGAGGGCCAAGACAGCTCCAGGAGGCACCCGGAGGGGCCAAGACAGCCCCAGCGCCCCAGAATGCACCAGGAGGTCCCAGGAAGCCCCGGGGAGCCCCGGGAGGCCCCAGGAGGCTCCAGGAGACTCCAAGAAGCGCCAGAAAGCCGCAGGAAGCGCCAGGAGGCCCCAGGAAGCCCCAGGAGGCCCCGGGAAGCCCCAGGAGACGACCAATCTATAGGTACATACGTCAAACACAAAGGATTGTGAAGCCACCCGGACCGCGCAGCACCGGTGACACGCTTCCAACGGATCCATCCTGCGGGCTCCTGGGGCATCCCGCCTCAAGAAGGTCCCGGGAGGCCTCGAGAAACACCCAGGAAGCCCCATGAGGCCCCCAAGAAGACCAAACGAGGCCCTAAGAGGCTCCAAAACGGCCCCCCAGGAGGCTTCAAAACTGCATCCAAGAGCCCGACGAGAAACCTGTTTCTCGTCGGCCGCCCCCGCCGCCGCCAGCCGCCGCCGCCCGATGGGGCTGGGTTGCGGGTCCAAGGCCTCCTGGATGTTCGTTTGGGGGTCTCTTGGGAGGCTTCTCGTCATGCTTTTGGAAATTGTTTTGAAGCCTCCTGAAGGGCCGTTTTGGGGCCTCTTAGGATTCTTTTTTAATCAACTTGGGGAGGGGTCTTGTCTAGCAGAAGGCGCACGCCTAGCACCATTGATTATTTGTTAATCAACTTGGGAAGGGCTCTTGCCTATCAGAGGGTGCCGCACAGCAAATGGGCATGTCTAGCACCAAGGATTCGTTTTCAATCAACTTGGCGAGGGGACTTGCCTAGCATAGGGTGCCACACAGCAAAGGGCATGTCTAGCACCAGGGATTCTGTTTTAACTAACTTGGGAAAGGGTCTTGCCTAGCAGAAGGTGCCGCGCAGCAGAGGGGCTCAACTTGGAGAGGATGCCGCACAGCAAAGGGGCACGCCTAGCACCAAGGATTCTTTCTTAATCAACTTGGGGAAGGGTCTTGCCTAGCAGAAGGTGCCGCACAACAGATGGGGCACGCCTAGCACAAATGATTATTTTTTAAAATAAATTTGGGCAGGGCTGTTGCCTATCAGAGGGTGCCGCACAGCAAATGGGCATGTCCAGCACCAAATACTCTTCTTTAATCAACTTAGCAAGGGGACTTGCCTAGCAAAGGTGCCGCACAGCAAAAGGGCATGTCTAGCACCAGGGATTCTGCTTACATTAACTTGGGAAGGGGTCTTGCCCAGCAGAATGTGCCGCACAGCAAAGGGGTTCACCTTGGAGAGGGTGCCGCAAAGCAAAGGGGCATATCTATCACCAAGGATTCTTTTTTGATCAGCTTGGCTAGCAGAAGGTGCCGCACAACAGATGGGGCACGCCTAGCACCAAGGATTCTGTTTAAATCAACTTGGGGAGGGCCATTGCCTAACAAAGGGTGCCACACAGCAGATAGGGCACGTCTAGCACCACACGTTCTTTTTTAATCAACTTGGGGAGGGGTCTTGCCTAGCAGAAGGTGCCGTTCAGCAGATGGGGCACGTCTCGCACCAAGGATTTTTGTTTTAAACAACTAGGGGAGGGGTCTTGCCTACCAGAAGGTGCCGCACAGCAGGTGGGGCACGCCTAGCACCAATGACTCTTGTTTGATCAACTTAGGGGGGGCCATTGCCCAACAAAGGGTGCCACACAGCAGATGGGGCACGTCTAGCACCAAGGATTCTTTGTTCATCAACTTGGGGAGGGGTCTTGCCTAGCAGAGGGTGCCGGACAGCAGGTGGGGCACGCCTAGCACCAAGGATTCTTTTTCAACCAACTTGGGGAGGGCCATTGCCCAACAAAAGATGCCACGCAGCAGATGGGGCACGTCTAGCACCAAGGATTCTTTTAAAATCAACTTGGGGAGGGGTCTTGTCTAGCAGAAGGTGCCGCACAACAGGTGGGGCACGCCTAGCACCAATGACTCTTTTTTTATCAACTTGGGGAGGGTTCTTGCCTGTCAGAGGGTGCCGCACGGCAAATGGACATGTCCAGCACCAACATTTTTTTTTCAATCAAATTGGCGAGGGGTCTTGCCTAGCAAAGGTGCCGCACAGCAAAAGGGCATGTCTAGCACCAGATATTCTTTCGAAATTACCTTGGGGAGGGGTCTTGCCTAGCAAAAGGTGCCGCACAGCAAAGGGGCTCATCTAGCACCAAGGATTCTTTTTTTTTTATCAATTTGGGGAAGGGCCTTGCCTAGCAGAAGGTGCCGCACGACAGATGGGGCACGCCTAGCTCCAAGGATTCTTTTTTTTTTAATCAACTTGGGGAGGGCCATTGCCACACAGCAGATGGTGCACGTCTAGCACCAAACATTTTTGTTCAATCAACTTGGGGAGGGGTCTTGCCTAGCAGAAGGTGCCGTTCAGCAGATGGGGCACGTCTCGCACCATGGATTTTTGTTTGAAACGACTTGGGGAGGGGTCTTGCTTAGCAGAAGGTGCCGTTCAGCAGATGGGGCACGCCTAGCACCAAGGATTCTTTTTTAATCAACTTGGGGCACGTCTAGCACCAAGGATTCTTTTTAAAGCAACTTGGGGAGGGGTCTTGCCTAGCAGAGTGTGTCGCACAGCAGATGGGGCTCGCCTAGCACCAATGACTCTTTTTTTATCAACTTGGGGAAGGTTCTTGCCTATCAGCGGGTGCCGCCCAGCAAAGGGGCATGTCTAGCACCAAGGATTCTCGTTTTAAACAACTTGGGGAGGGGTCTTGCCTGGCAGAGGGCGCCGCGCAGCACATGGGGCACGTCTAACATCACGGGTTTGTTTTATCAACTTGGGGAGAAATCCTGCCCAGCAGAGGGTGCCGCACAGCAGATGGGGCACGTCAAGCACCAAGGATTCTTTTTAATCAACTTGGGGAGGGGTCCTCCGGTACGGGTCTTGCCCAGAAGAGGGTGTTGCACGACAGTTGGGGAATGTCTGGCACCAAGGATTCTTTTTAATCAACTTGGGGAGGGGTCTTGCCTGGCAGAGGGTGTCACACAGAAGATGCGCGTTGGGTTAGGCACGGAGAGCGTAAAGTAAAATGGCACTTTCAAATTACAATTGGGACGGGAACACGTTGAATACTGGGCCTGGTGAAGAGAAGGAGCATCTTCACGGGCAATAGCGTCTTCATCCGGAATAGCGTCGTCACAGGGAATAGCGTCTTCACCCAGAATAGCGTCTTCACCAGGAATAGCGTCTTCACCCGGAACAGCGTCTTCACAGGGAATAGCGTCTTCACCCCGAATATCGTCTTCACCCGGACCAGCATCTTCACCCGGAATAGCGTCTTCACCCAGAATAGCGTCTTTATGGGTAATAGCGTCTTCACCCTGAATAGCGTCTTCACCCGGAATAACATCTTCACCGGGCATAGCGACTTCACAGGGAATAGCGTCTTCACCCGGAATAGCGTCTTCACCCAGAATAGCGTCTTCACCCGGAATAGCGTCTTCACCGGGAATAGCGTCTTCACCCAGAATAGCGTCTTCACAGGTAATAGCGTCTTCACCCGGAATAGCGTCTTCACAGAGAATAGCGTCTTCACCGGGAATAGCGTTTTCCCAAGGAGAAGCGTCTTCATAAGGGAAGTGCTGTCTGTGTCCGCAGAACGCGTCTTCACCCGGAATAGCGTCTTCACCGGGCATGGCGTCTTCACCGGGCATGGCGTCTTCACCCGGAATAGCGTCTTCACCCGGAATAGCGTCTTCACCGTCTTCACAGGGAATAGCGTCTTCACAAGGAATAGCGTCTTCACAGGGACGCGTCGTCACAAGGAATAGCGTCTTCAAATAGCGTCTTCGGCGCCGGCTCGAGCTGGGAACCCCGGTTGCCGGGACAATGAAAAAATTAGTTCACACCGGGGCCCCAAGGGGAAATGTATCCACGCAGCCTTGGACATCAGAAGACCAATGTTATGAGCCTTCGGGGGGAAAAGGGTTTCAAGCGCGCGGTCGCTCAGAAAATTAACTTGCGTTCGATTTCGCGGGGAAATGATGCAAAGCGCACTGGAAGAGCGCAAAATCCGGGGCTGACGCAAAGGCCAACGGAAGCGCGCAGAGTTCTGGACACGATAGCCCCCGACCCCTTCAGAGAAAAGCTGTGGCCCCGCCCACCTCAGTAAAAGGCCCCGCTCCCCATTGCCCCACCAGCAACAACGACCCGCTCAAAACCAGACCCCAGCCCCTCCTGGTTTCCATCCCGACCAGCTCTCCGAGCCGCGTCCAGCCGCGGCCACGAAGGCCTTCCCCAGTCGGTCCAAACATGCGCAGAACTTGAACATTTCCCCCTCCTCCTAGTCCTGGGTCCTGGGATTCCTGGGTCCTGGGTCCTCCTCCTCCTCCTCCTCCTCCTCGTCCTCCTCCTCGTCATCCTCCTCCTCCTCCTCGTCCTCCTCCTCCCCCTCGGCCTGGCCTCCTCCTCCTCCTCCTCCTCCTCCTCCTCCTCCTCCTCCTCCTCCTCCTCCTCCTCCCCCACACCCTCTTCTGCGCGACGCCGGCGACCACCATCGGCGCCGCAGAGGCGGGCACGATGATGACGAAGACCCCGGGCTCCTGGTCGGCAACCTGCTGCACGTCGCGCAGCCTGCAGGAGGGGCGCCAGCTGTACACCTACGCAAATTCTGGCCAGGCTCACTCTGGGCTCAGAACCGTTTTTCTGATCCGCGGGTCGAGAGCGCACCTCTTCCGGTCGAAGCTGAGCGGGCCGCGCACAGCTTGAATTAACGAGAGGGGGGCAGAAGGAGGGGCCTCACATCAAGGCCAAGGCTGGGCTCAGAATCGGCAGGAGCCCAGAATCGAATCGATGAGTCGGATCGGCGATCGAAATGAGTCGGACCGCGGAGATCGGCTGCCGAGCCTGGAAAAGTCGAAGCGGCGGAGATCGGCAGGCTAGCAGGCCTCCACTGAGAAATCGGGGCCCAAACCGGAATCCGAAGTCGAATCGAGTCGGAATGGGAAGCCATCCAAGTCGAATCGGATCGAATCGGAGGAATCGAAAGGAGCCCCGAATCGGTGTGTAGCGGCTTCTTGTCGTGCCGCCTGCGACGATGGCAGTTTCTGACACCGCGTGGATCGTTCAGCCCTGAACGATCGGCGGGCCTGGCGATCGCCAGATCGTTCCATGTTGGGCGACGTTGGGCCACTGGCGGCGTTCAACCTTGAACACCCGCGGCGGGGTCGCCTCCGAGTCGACACGACGCGAACCTACCGTTGGCGTACAGCTGACGCCCCCCCGAGCCTGTCCACCACCCGTCGGCACGCGGCCTCCTTCTGCTCCACGGAGCCGGTAAAGGTGCAGATCTTGTCGCTCAGGGTGGCCGGCGTCTCGCCTTGGGGCGGCCAGGATCGCAGCCCAGGAGGAAGAAGAAGAAGCGGAGTAACATGACATGAAGTCGTGAAGAAGCCCAGAAACCGCGAAGTGCACCTGCCGCCACGGGGGTATAAACCTTCCAGAGGCCTTGGTGCAAGCGCCCCATCTTACATCGTCCTTCGCCCGCGCAGAGGAGGAGGGAGCAGGAGGGAAGAGAGGAGCACACAGAGGGCTCAACTGAACCCATGGAGGCTCTGGCCTGCAGAACGGACGACGTCGACCTCCCAGGCGGAGGCGGACACCTCCGCCCCGCGGCTCCGACGTCGCACCTTCCTTCCAGCGGTGGGCCCCAGCGCTCTCGAGAAGTTGCCGGGCCCGCGCCTCACTCCGAGAAGTTGCCGGGCCCGCGCCTGGGGCCGGGCCCGAGGGCGGCCCCCCGAGGCCGAGATCGAAGCACAGGCGGCGGGGCTCGCGGGATCACGGCGTCAGCGGCCTGGGGCTGTGGAGGCTCTCGGGGAAGGGAGGGGGGAGGGGGGCGGAGCGGGCCAGGTCTCGGCATACCCTGGGGCGCTCCTGGTGCTCCCACTGGGCTCTTGTCCTGCCCCCCTGCCCCCCGGTCGCCCTCGCCAGATATCTCGATGCCCGCGTTCGTCGCGGCGCAGATCTCCCGCAGCGTGGCGCCACCCGACCCGGCGACCGCCGGAACCGCGTCAGCTGGCAGGAGGGAGCGCCAGGGCACCGGAAAGTTCATGGCGCGCCCGCAGGAGGAGACGCAGAGGAGGACGACGCCGGCGAGGAGCAGGAGGATGAGGAGGAGGAGGAGGAGGAGGAGGAGGAGGAGGAGGAGGAGGAGGAGGAGGAGGGAGGAGGAGGAGGAGGAGGAGAGGAGGAGGAGGAGGAGGAGGAGGAGGAGGAGGGAGGAGGAGGAGGAGGAGGAGGAGGAGGAGGAGGAGGAGGAGAGGAGGAGGAGAGGAGGAGGAAAGGGGGAATAGGGGGAGGAGGAAGGGGGAGGGGGAGGGGGAGGAGGAGGAGGAGGAGGAGGAGGAGGAGGAGGAGGAGGAGGAGGAGGAGGAGGAGGAGGGGGAGGAGGAGGAAGAGGTGGAGGAGGAGGGGGAGGAAGAGGAGGAGGAGGAGGACGAGGAGGAGGAGGAGGACGAGGAGGAGGAGGAGGAGGAGGAGGAGGACGAGGAGGAGGAGGAGGAGGAGGAGGAGGAGGAGGTGCGCTCATCCCAACCCCGCGTGTCCTCCCAGCATAACCCGACGCAGCCCAGCGTGCCTCTGGGCCAGCACCTTCGCTCGGGCCTTGAAAAGATTCTGGAGGTTCAACCTCCTAGAAGCATTGCGGAGTTTGTTGAAAGAGTGGAAACAAATGTCCTGGAAAATCGCACAGCTGACCATAGAATCCAGGTCTCCTGGAAACAAGTGCGGGCAGGCCCTCTGAGGGCCACTAAGATTCAGAAACTCTGGATCCAGTCTCGGAAGAAGCTCTAACAGGACAGGCTCAGCAACTGGACAACACAGGTCGTGCACTAGGTCGTCCCCACCTACATTGGAGCACCCAAACAAACATCGGCCAGGGCCCTAATGGTACCGACGGGTGGTGGACCACGCGTTGCAAAGCGTTTTCAAAACACTAGAAACTACAAAATTCGGAACATGCTGACCAATTCTACCCAGCTTAATTTGCAGACGGGTCTCAGTATCTAGGCTCACCGCTTGATGTCCCAGGAAGTAAGAGGCTCGTCGGACTAGGGCAGAACAACAACGTGTACCAGGGAAACGTTTTTTGCAACACTCGTAGTACCGCAGCCTGGAAACCTTTCTTCTCGGGGTCCTCGGGAATCTCTGGGATACCGCCCATAAAACTCATCACCTTGTTCAACTTATACAGACAGGATTCCTGCAAGAGCGGGCTAAAGAAGTGGGTCACGAGGTACTCGCTGGACTCTAAAATATCATTATACCATCGAATCATTCTGGGTATTACCTGACTTCTCATCGCAGTACGGTACCTCGCGGCCATGCGCAGTTGGCGGAGCTGGGGCACCTTCACTTTGATGCCAATACTCTCAAGATCAAAGAACACGGCTCGCGGTACAGCGTGCCTCGGGCCGTTCACCAGCAACTGGAGGCACTCGTCCTCCAGACGGGACAATGCTGGCTGGGGCTCAAAGAACTGGCCCACGAACTGCGTGACTGGCACCGCCAAGGTCTTAGAGCACATGATGTTTTCGACGAAACTCATGCCGAGACCTCTAAGTTCCCTCACGCTCCTTACGTACTTAATCATCGGATCCTGCCAGCTTAGTTCGCCCCCTCCTCGCCCTAGACAAATCCCCGGGCACTTCCCGTTGACTCTGACCTGAATACTTCCCACATCTACTCCCAATTCGTCGAATCGATCTCTAATATACTGTTCCGAGTACGAGGCCATAAACACGATTACCGTTTTCTTGTTGTTCAGGTAATTAGAGGCCCGTCGCCAAACCGCACTGGTTCATGATGGCCAGCACAACGGGTACACTCTCAAAAAGGTTGCGCGAGCCGTGCATAATGTCGTCGGCGAAACAGCACAAACAGCAGCTTGGCTCTGGCAGGGCGCAGGATAGGGCACGAACCACTGGATCAAGAGCGAGAGCGAATATCGATCCCGATGCGGGGCACCCCTGTTTTATCCCAGACGATATCACGAATCCAGGAAACCGACCTCCCGACAGGATCAGAGTAACCGATATCCCATGATATAGAAACTTCAACGCGTTGATTATGTTAACTGGAATACCCATGATTTCTAGAACCCACCACATCCACACATCGTTGAGAGAAGGGAAAGCGGCACGAACGTCGAGCAAGATGCTTCCTGCGTCCCTCTCGCCAGAGACACAAAACCAGACCGCCGGCTTCGAGTTGGCCTCCAGCACATTCTCGTTCAAATATCGTCGGATGACAAACCCACGCCGAGGCTCGGCACATGATATCGAAGCTTGCTTGGCAAGACCCCAATTCAATCACGCACTGAGAAGCTTATTATCAGCATTTCCCAAACATATCGGCCGAACCTCAGACGGGGCTTCAATCAGCTCATCTATGCACTCGGGGATCTCCCCCTTGGGAATGAAGACTGCGAGGCACTCGTTAAACGTGTCGTCCTCTGCCTCACCAGCAAGCAAGGCCTGATAGGCCTGGAACAACATCTGCGCGCCTAGTTCCCCGCAGTGAGAGTAACAGCTGAACGGAATACCATCTGGTCCAGGAGATGAGCCCCGAAATCTTTTCACCCCCTGGAGGAACTGCTCAAACGTAACTTCCCAAAGAACATTGCTAGAGGCCTTCTGGACAAACCTCCGAAATGGTTCACGATGGGCAGGGTCCCTGGGTCGATCGGAGTGAACGCCCCCCCCCCACTGCCGAGCAAGTAGTTCAGCGCTGCCCTCGAGCGTCTCTGGAACACTGCCGTCAGGTGCTTCAACTCCAGTTAAAACAATCCGACGATTACGGGCACGCCAGACCTGGATATACCTCTGAAGCTGCTGAGTCTTCTTACTTTTGTATTCCTCCGAAAGCTGTGGAGTCGCGAAAAGCTCCTGCACCTCCTCCTCCAGAACCTGCTCCGATAGGCCCCTCATCCTGTTCATGAAACTAGCGCAATCCACCCAAAGCTCCCCCTCCGCATCTATAAAGTCGTTGAGTTCAGGGAAGGCTCGAACAGCTTTCAGCACGACTCTTCTGTTCGCCTGGGCCATCGCGCGCAAGACGGCGAGGTGCCAGGACAACATTTCTTGAGAGGTCGCGGGGCCATCGACTGACAAACCTTCCTTCACCTGACGAGCTGCTTCATGAAATACCTCCTCGAGCCCGCGGAGCCTGAGAAAAGCGCCCCCGTATGCAGGCATGTCTTTCCAGAGGTCCTGAACCAGGGTTGAGAACTGCGGTTTTTTGACGACCCAGGACGGGGCCCTCGGAGCCGACGACCTATGACCTGGGCTCAGCTGGCCGTAGACGGGCGCGTGATCGCTGGGCCTGGTCAAGTCGGTGACTGGCCAGACGACGCCCGCGGCCGGCTTCAAATCAAGCAAGTGCCCAGAGCCCAGAGAGACATATACTCTATCTAGCCTGCCAGCAGAGACCAGCTTCTCGTTCTGTTTCACTCTAAATGTCGGGTTGAGCTGCACCAGCTCGCACAAGTAGGGAAAAGTCTTAGCGAAGAGGCCCCCCGCAGCATCTGTTTTACAGGATGCAGGCTCAGCTCGGAGAAAAAGTCGGGAGTCCCCAGGATCGAGACAATTGAAATCACCCAAGACCCAAGTAGCACACTTACTGACTGGTTCGACTGAGAAGCCCACCCGTCGAATCAACCCATATTTCATACCGTTAGATAAGGCGGGATCGATTTGAATGTTCGCTATTGTCATGCACCCCAGTTTCCCCCCAAGATGCATGTTATGGCACCTCCCCTTGGCGATGGCCTGGTGACGCACAAGCACGAAGAGCTTCAAAAAAGTTCGGCGGTTCAAAATCACTGACCCTCCAGCAGCACGATCGGGTACCACCCATCAAACTGCTGAACGTCAGAAAGAAATAGAAGTAGATCCTCTCGACAACCGCGACACTCCTGGAGCACCACCACGTCGGAGTTGGCGCACAGCGACTGCACCGTTGCTCTGGTCCGAGCCTGCATCGCAACGTCGGAGTGCAGTGAGCCGAACAGGGTGTGGGCGTTCCACGTCGCGATCTTGAAACGTCGAGACGGAATGAATGGTAAGTCCAATACCTGATCCTCCTCATCTCCCGAAGATCCATCTTCCGACGACGATTCGTCGCGAGAGCTGGATGACCCAGAAGAGGAACGCGAAGCTGGAGAGCCAGAATAAGGAGGGGAAGGGGAACGATGATCTTCCTCGCCCATAAACTCCTCTAGGTCATGTCTAACTGCACGACCCGAATTCTGAACATGAACTGGTTGCGTGGAATCCTACTCATTGAGCAGCCTCAACATCTTGTCGATATCGTCCTGCCCAATGTTGAGACTCTTGGTGTCCTCCGTGGCGTGGGCCAACATCCTATGCAACGGGTCGACCGTGCCACGAAAGAGAATCCAAATGTCGTCATCCTTGATGAAATAGAACTCGTTGCGAAAGCCGTTGGCCCCCATCTTGACGCTCTGTGACCACGCTCCTTTCTTCACCAGCAGCTCTTTCATCGGTAACCGAACTCGTCCCAACTATCGCTGCCGTCCTCGAACGTCTCCAGGGAGGTCTGCTCGGACTCTTATGCCGTGCGTCGACTGGTCACGATTGTCGCGCCAACGCATAGGGCACTCACTCATGTAGTCGTGGAACTCCCTCGCATGGGCCGCCGTTTCGAAGTGGACACTGTAGCTCTGGGAAATCCTCGCGAACTTGGCCGTAATCACCTCGGCCATATGTGTATTGACGTGGGACTTCAACTGCTCGAAATGGACCATCCTCGCGCTAGCCAGTAACGCCCTTGGGAAACCACTGATCCACCTACGCTTATCATCAGGTTCGTCATCCTGCGGTACCCGCCCAGTAGGCGCCGAATTCGCAGCCCTCGAAATCTTCGCAGGTCGTCCTCCACTCGAGGCCGCTGATGTCGCCGTCGACGTGGCAGCCTTCACCTCATCTCGCATACTGATCATGTCCCTCTTGTGAGACTCCGCCAGGTTGCGAATCTGCGACTGGATGACGAGGTCACTCTGCGTAGCACCCTGTGGAAGCATGGCCAACTGATTCTCGATGCTGGTGACAATGGCCTCCAAGATACTTATCTTCGCGATCTCCGACATCGCGCGTTGCTGAGCAGAAACCATATCGCTGATCTTGGCCTCCATGGTGCGATTGGACTCGGCGTTCTCCTCCATCGCCTTGGCCATTCTCTCCAAGGCGTTCGACGGGACGGTCGTGAACCCCTCGTCATCGACGTCGATCGCACCCTCGGACATGGCAGAGCTTCGGGGTGCGATTCGCTGGGGGCTGAGGAGAAAAAAATCGGAGGCCTGTCCTCCAGAAATCCTCTGAGCCTCGAGCCAAAATGGCTACGGGAGGAGGAGGAGGAGGAGGAGGAGGAGGATAAGGATAAGGATAAGGCCCTTGGGGGTCTGGCCTTGCCGCCTACCGAAAAAAAGGCTTGGACCCCTGGGATGCATACGGATGCGGGCCCACCCTCGCTTTGGGGGGGCCGCCTGAGGCGTCGGGGCCCGCCAGTGTCGACGGGGCCCCGTGCCTCGCCAGCAGGGTGACCCTGCCACGGTATCAGTATAACGACTGCTGCAGGCGGTGCGGGGCTGCCTCCCTGGGCGCACCCCTCACCGCTGAGAGCCCGCCCACCACCGCCCCCCTCCATCCCACCTCCCCCCACTCCCAGGACGGTAAGAGAGGCAAAAAAAGAGGCGGCCTGGTACTCCCTGCCCTCGACTTAGTAGTATGTATTGCATGGCCGCACTGGCTCATGCGTTGAGTGCTTGCTGCCGAGCTCTCCTTTGTGACGGTAGTGAGGAGAGAAAAAAAAGGGAGTCCAGGCCTGGTGCAGTCTGCTCTCTACTACTGCTGCTGCCCGATGCCCCAGCCTGCCGCCGCTGCCGCCCTTGGCGAGGACAGCCTGATGTCCTTGCTCTGGCCTGAGCTGTCATCCTTAGTGACTGCCGAGGCGGCGGCTGGGGCGGTGCTCGAGCTCGCCTCACTGCTGAGAACCCTGCCACGGTTCTCCCAGCCCTCAATGCTCTTGCTCGGGTTGGTGCACGGCGGCCTGCGTGGTGGCTGGAGGTAGTCCTTAATCTCCATCTGCGGCTCCAACATTGGCTCCGTCTGCAGGTCGCCGTCGAAGAACGCCTCGTCGTAAGCGTAGCCGTGCGGGCCCTTCGTCCAGCGCGTGTATATGTTGTCGAGCTCGTCGTACTGGCGCCTCGTGAAGTCCAGCTCCCATGGCATCGGGCCGTGCGTGGTCTTGCCCATCTTGTCGTCGGTGATGCCGATGGCGCTCCTCATTGTGCTGATGGCGCCGTTGATGTCGCGGAGCTGCTCCTTGAGGTAGAGCTCCGCTTGGCTGCGCTCCGCCTCCTCGTGTGGGTTGAGGCTCTTCGCATTCAAGCGGCCCAGGGTGGTCACGACCCTCTCCCGCTGCTTGTGGAGCGCGTGGAGGGCCTTCTTGCTGTGCTCGGTCGCCACCTTGAACGCTGCGGCCGTGCTCTGGAGCGCGTTGTGCGCGATCTCGAGCCTGTACGCCGCCGTGCCCGCCACTTGGTCCGCCACTCCTCCCATGCCTCCTCGGTCGAGCGGCTTCTGCACGATCGTCGGCTGCAGATGGTCTCCTGCATCTTGCTGCTTCGCCATCTCGCCCTTCTCCATGTGCGCCTGCGCCGCCATCGCAGCACTGGTCGTGCGCCCTCTGGCGCTGGCTCTGGATGTAGGCGGGGTGGCCGCCAGCACTGGTTGGGAAGCCGCGAAGATGCTCGAGTCGCAAATGTCCTCTGGTAGTATGTCGAGCTGTATACCATTCCTTGTTACCTTAGCTGTTCCCGCCTACTGTTGTTGTACACCTTAGATATTGTAGTCGTTTCCTTAGTTCCCAGTGGTTGGGTCGTAAGGAATCGTAGTAAGACCTTGGTGTGATAGTAGGCGTAGGCACAGTGGTTCGCTGGTGTCGGAGTCCTGTGCCTTTCCTTAGTATGCAACTCTTACTCACTCTAGTCTCCCGATGTCGAGATAGGTAACATTTGTAAGCTTAAGCAGGCAAGAGCTGGATGTAGCTGAGCGGGAGAGACAGAGGTCGAACCGTGGTCGGATCACAATCGCATGTCTGTGCTGGTTGATGTGGTATAGTAGCTCCCTGTGTATGCTGTCATAGTACTCGATGTGTACCCAATATCATGTACTGTCGTTATGTGTGCTGTCCATTACGATGTCGCGGTACTGCTGACTTCGAGCGTGCATCTGCAATACTGTATGACAGGCAAACCCCATATGTGAGTGACACTAATAGAGAGCTGATTGCCTGGAGAGAGATGAGAGGTTGGGAAGTGGGAGTTGGTGGGGGAGGGGGCGTAGGTAGTGTGAGCCCGTGTAATTGTAGGGTGACGGCTGCATAGTTAGAAAGACCGCCGCCCCCCTCATTTTTTTGCCATAGGCTGGTAATAATCCCTTGGTCGTAGGTCCCGATAGTACTTAGCCATCCGGTATAGGTATGCCATCTGTCCTCCGTGCTGTTCGGCCTGGCTTCTGAGACTCGTCATACGAACAAGGTCAACACTAATCTGCTGTGCAATTTTTTCCTCTCGACTCACTGGCGGTGATGATGGTGGCCAGGCACGAGGTCGCCCCATTGAGTTGAGGCGTGGTTCGGTGGCGCTGCTCGGCATCGAGCTGCTGGCTCCGCTGGGCTGCGGGCCTGGCGAGGGCTGGCCCGCGGGGCTCTCTCGCTCGGGGCGGGGCGAGCTGCTGGGCGTTGGCTGAGGTGTGCCTTGGCTCACCTCCTGTTGAGCTGCGCCTCCACCGCCCTCTCCAGGCCCGTCTTCGGGCCTCCTGAGCGACTCTTCGTGGCCCCTAGGTGCGCCAGCGCGTGGCCCAGGGCCTGCTTGAATATGTCCCCCTTGAAGCCCGCGATCTTGTCGTACTGCTCCTGCTCCAGCTTCTGGTCGTACAGCACGGCCCTGAAGCTCGGCGCCGTGTTGATCGTGTAGATGAGCTTGGCCTTGCATTGTTTGATGTCCATCTCCACGTCCTCGCCCGTCTTGTTGTATGCCTCCTGGATCTTGCACTGCAAGAAGACCTCCGTGATGAAGATTGGTCCCCAGGGCTCGTCGAGCTGGCTCATGAACTCCTTCAGTAGCTGTCTCACGTGGAGGAGAGACGCGTCTAGTTGCTGCTCCTCCGTATCGAGAACCGCCACGATCTCCTCGACTAGACTCGCCGCCACCTGGCCGTGGGGTGGGCCGAGGCCGTGCCCTTTGCCCAGCTGCTTTACTTTCCGCCCGTACTCCCTGCCTGTCTCCATCGGCGCCTGCACCCATTCTGGTTCGAGCGGCGTCAGCCAGAACTCTCCCGTGACGTGCAGGAAGTTGCGTATCTCGTTCGAGTTCTGGAGAGTGAGCCTCTGGAGCGATCTCAGCTGGTCCCGCAGCTCCACTTGCCCGCCTCCACCCCCACCGCGGCCGCCTCCTGGGGGACCTCGACCTCCTCCTCCTCTGCGCTGGGTGGGAGGCGGCTGCTGCGGTGTCTGCTGCGACTGCTGCGTGTCTGACGAGCCGACTCCGCCGCCGCCGAGGTGCGGGCGCTGTGCTGGTCGCTGCCCTTCGGCTGCGCCTCCTCCTCTCTTCGTGCTGGCCCTGATGCGCCAGTCGCCCTGGCCCACGTGCGACATGTGCTCCTTCTCCCCGTGCTGCTCTGATCGACTCTGGCCCTGCAATGTGCTCACGTATGTGTGCGTGGTAGTCCTCAAGAGTTTGAGCCTCGTGGTTACAGATCTGGCAGTTAAGGGAGCTGGGGTCGGAAATGGGGTGGGACCACATCGACCTGTCTTGGTGGCAGATACCGTGACCATGTACTGCCCTGACTGCGTGGTCGACACATACCTTACGGTTAATAAATGTGCTCTTGCACCAGGGACATTGGTTGTTGACGATTACGGACGCCACCACAGGTCGGATGTTGTGGGTCTCTCGGCGATGCCCAGCTAGTGCTGCGTATGTCGCGAAGCGCATGCCGCACGTCTGCTCTGTGTCGTTTTCGCCCTTCGTCGTATGATCGCACCAGTATGGTTTTAGTGTATCCTCCTCCCTGCCCTCCTCCCCCTGTATCGTCGCATCTCGTGTCGTTAGCACATCCCAATTTCGCTCGTAACTGTACAATATTGATGGGTCTGTTTGTAACCAGTTTTTTTGTTCCGTACTCCCCTGTTCGAATATAGCGAGGTCGGATCCCCTGTCTGCGTACCATCCCATGCTCTCGTCCACTGTTGCTATCACATGCATGTCGGCTGCAAACTGCTGTGCCCATGGGGTGGAGGTAGGCCCCACAAATCCCTGCCCCTCAAGTCGGCGTATGCCCTGAGCTGCGTCTAGTCTGGATGTTCCGAACACCGCTGCAATGACTGCTCCGTGCTCCCAAGGGTGCCTTGACCAGTTCTGGTACCACCGTAGGCGTCGCACCAGCAAAGAGACGGATGTGCGCTCGAGTCTCCAATATCTGAACACCTGTCGCAAGTTGTTGCACCTCACTGTCCCATCTGTTCTGGTCCACGACATTGCTCCTCCCGCTAGCGTCCGTAGGTACTTGCCTAGTACGCTGTCGATAGCTGTTGCATGAGCGTCTGTCAAAACTAGCGCAGGTAAACCGCTGAGGGCCGCACCTACCACGAAGGCCATGAACATCATGCGTTTTATTTGTCGGGGTACCTTAGAGGTCCAGAAGATCCCGCATTGTCGCCATGCAACGCGGATGGCTGCGATGCGCCGCACGACCTCGCCAGTGTTGCCCTGTCCAGCTGGTAGGTAGGGGCCTAATACCCGCATTTCCCTAAGCGCCTGACCCTGCAGTTTCTTGCTGCGCCTTAGTTGTCTGGTTTTCCCGTAGCAGCCCTGCCCTACGAGGTATAGTAGGTGGTTGGTCTTAGCATTATTGAGTCCCCATCCTCCTGCAGCTATTGTTTGGGACAGGCGTTCAGTGTTGTTGTTGAGTTGTTTTTCAATATCTCCAGCCGTCGCTGCGGGTGGTATTGTCTGCACGTAGGTGATGTCGTCCATGAACGTGTTGAGAGCTAAATCGTGGGTGTTGCCCGCGACTGGGTTTCTAGTTGCTTGCGTGGGAAGACCCTGTGCACTGAATGCGCCAGAGGCCGCAGGGCGCCCTGGCACACAGAAACACACAAGCGTTCTGGACAGGCCAGAAGCTGGAATGATACAGAATAGACACTGAAGCAGGCATGCTTTCAGGGATATCCCGAAAGCGCAGTATACGTTCAAGTCCCTATTGGTTCACGGAATTCTGCAATTCACAATGCTTATCACACTTCGCTGCGCCCTTCATCGTTGTTCGAGCCGAGACATCCGTCGCTGAAAGTTGTAAGGAGGAGGAGGAGGAGGAGGAGGAGGAGGAGGAGGAGGAGGAGGAGGAGAGAGGAGGCCGCGCGTCGGGGCACCCAGAGGATCCGAGGCCTCCCAGGTGGATCGCTCGACGGCGAGCGCGAGGGGCTTGGACGTCGGCGACGACGACGACGTTGACGCCATCGCTTCGGGTGCCGGGGGACAACTCTCAGAGACGACGACAGGGGTGAATAGCTCAGGGGAGGGCCACACATGTATTCAGGTGCGCCGATGATCTATGTCTTCAAACAGGCTCCCGGGCGAATGCGTGTAATGTCCGCCCCTGGGCTATATGCCCCTATCGTCGCCGCCGAAACTCTGGGGATCCTCGCGGCCACGGCCCAAAAAAACATCCAGGCCAGGAGTGGTCCAGGGGCCATCTTGTTTTCTGCATCGCGCGCCCCATCGATCACCGAATCCAGCATCGCCCGCCCGAATCGACTGTGCGATGCCAGAGCACCGGGACTATTTGGCGGGTTCTGGAAACCCAGGAGCCAAAGACGTTGCCACCCGTCGGGGGCGCATTTTCACTCCCGCCGCCCTCGGCCGAGCTTCCGCTGGCCTCTGCTGGCGGAGCGGCTCTGTCGCCGGCTTCCTCAGGCCCTCCGCCGCCCTCCGCCGAGGAGCACGACGACAGCTCCCTCGACCCTCCAAGGCGAGAGGCGCTCTCTGGAGCGCCCCACGTGCGTGTTTGTGTTGGGCCGTGGACCTGCTCCGAGCGCATCCTGGTCGGGGGTGGGGCGAGGGGGGGGGGGCGGCCCTCGAGGAAGGCACCTCGCATCTTGGCAGCCCTCCCGCCTTCAGGGGGGGCCCCTCCCAGAACCGGCCCCTCCCGAGAGGGCCCCTGCCCTCAAGGGGCCGCTCCCTCCCGAGACTGTTTCTCTGCCTCCTCGACAGGCCGCCACCCTCGCCGTTCCTCATCCTGTCGGCGCGCGGCCAGAGCCTGCAACGCGAGGAACTGAAGCACCCCCAATCGGGATAAATCGCTCCAGAGCGTGCCGGAGCGCTCTCAGAGCGTTCCGGAACGCTCTGGAGCGGCCGCGGCGCCCAATACGTCCTCCAAGCCCGCCGATTCTCAGAGATTTCGAGTTATCCCGATCCGATTTTGTCCCGATCTTCGCGTCGTTTTACACGAGGAACTGACGCACCCCCAGGGAGCTGGGAACGCACACGGCCAGACGCGCATGCGGACACACCGTGCGGAGGCTGCCTGCCGCGTGACGCACGTGCAGAGAGGCCCGCGCGCCGGGACTACGCGAGGCCCAAGCGCTGGGAAGGCACGCAGCCACACGTTTCCAGCTCCCGCCCCAGGCCGGCCACATCGCGCGTACAGTAGGGGCGTTGACCTAAGGAACCCTAAATAAGGAACGAGGCCCCTATTTTCCATAAGTTGAACTTCGACTTCGTATCGAAAACCTAAGGAAAATCCAAGGCAAGCAGCGAAGCACTTAAGGAACGCGGAGCCCCTTCCCAACGAAAAGGGTTCCTTCTTCAGGGCCCCGACTGTATCCAGCCTCCCGCCTCCCAGGCGGATGCGGGTTCTGGCCCCCCCGGCAAGGGCGAGGAGGGGGGGAGCGCGCGGGGAGGTCGCGCGACGCTCGCTTCGAGCGGAACGCTCTGTGGCCACGCCTGCCTCCGTGCCTCCCCCTCTCTCTGCAGCCGTGCCCGTCTCCGCCTCCTCACCGCCCCAAGGTGCGCGCCCCGAGGGAGCAAGAGAGAGAGAGAGAGAGAGAGACCAGAGACAGACAGAACTGGTGACAGGAGCGGCTGAAGACGTGGCTGGTGGCGTCACCAGGCGAGCGCCAAGCGGCCACACCGCAGGTGGCTGTGGCCGAGGTGGCCCTCGAGATGGCAGTGCCAGAGCTTACAAGATGTGAAGCACATGCCAGATCAGCCCAACGTGTGCGGCACGCTGTGGCCCTGACGGAGCGGGCCCCCGTTTCTGACACCACGCTGACCGTTCAATCTTGAGCGATCCCCTCTCGGAGGGCTCTGGACACTGCCGATCCGATCCGTCGTGCAAGCCTCGCGCCGTGGGGCTGCACTCCGTGGCCCTTTTGACCTGGCACGGGACGCCAGAGGTCGCTCAGATCTCCTACCTCCTCCCCTCCTCCTCCTCCTCCTCCTCCCCTCCTCCTCCTCCTCCTCCTCCTCCCCTCCTCCTCCTCCTTCTCCTCCTCCTCCTCTCCTCCTCCTCCTCCTCCTCCTCTCCTCCTTCTCCTCCTTCTCTCCTCCTCCTCCTCCTCCTCCTCCTCCTCCTCCTCCTCCTCCTCCTCCCTGCCTCCCCCTCTTCCTCCCCCTCCTCCTCCGCCTCATCGGCTCCTCCTCTTTTCCTCATCCCCTCTGCTTTCCTCGTCCCGGGTCCTGGTGTGCCTGGTGCATCTCGGAGAGGTTGCGTACTCCCTGCGCCTGCGTCTGCAGCACCTGGCCAGCGGCGCGCCCCGCGCGCGGGAGGAAGGGGGCGAAGGGGGCGAGGAGAGGGGGATCGACCGTACCAGAGGGCGCGGTCCCGCCTGGCTCACTTGAAGGACAAAGGCGTGCACTGCACCGGCTAACGCGGCGCGTTGTTGCTGTGCATCTGCCGTCGCTCCGTGAGCGAACGATGCCTTCAGCTTGTTATCGAGACAAATCGCGGCACGGCGGCAGATTGCGCAGGTTGCGCTGTTGTATTCGCTGTCGGCTCCGAGGAGGGAGGAGGGCAAGGAGAGGAGCTTGCGGAGGACGGGACAGGAGAAGTAGTGGGACAATGGAGTCTTGGGCGCCACTGCACCCGAAGAAACAGTCGACCACTCCACAAACGTGCATGCGGTGGGAAGTCGTTCAGTTGCCCGCGAGGGTCTTCAGAAGTGACCGCTGCCATGCAGGCTGCTGCAGGCGGAGCGTGGCCAGGCAATCACTCCAGCGCTCCGCAGCCGCGCCGCCAAGAGTGTCCAGCAAACCCCAAGCACGTAGGCGCTTGGTGATGGCGGTGTCGAATGAAGGCGGGTAGAGAGAGGCTCGAAGCGAGGAGGGGAGAAGCCGTTGAACCTTTGGCTTGCGCGCACTGGTGAGGGCGGCAGCCTGCCCATGGCGAGCCACATGCTGCCCCTCGTCCCAGCGGCGCTTGGAAATCCCACGGAACGGTGGTTCACGCAGGAGAGATTGAAATCGCTAAAGGATGCCCTGCCCGATCTTCCAGCCGTGCGCGCCCCATGCGCCTTGCAACTTCTCAGCGAGGGGGCGCGTCTGCACCACGGTTTCGGACCACTCGTCGAGCTGCTGCTGCTAACCCCTGAGAATATGATAGGCACAGCGCCACAAGCTCGATGCGCTCAAAAAAGGGCGGACGCAGGGGCAACGAGATTGTAATCAGCCTTGCGGGACGCACTCGGCGGCAACCGTACGATTGTGCAAAACGAATTTTTCTTTGAAAATCATAGAGCGGGGAACCGGAAAGAGCTGAGCTAAGTAACTGAGCGTGGATAGGTTATTGTACTGCAGGATGCTCACACCCGTCGGGCATTCAGTGCGTGGGATTTCGAAAGAGCGAGACCACCATTTACGACCCGCTTCAGCCCAGATGAGCTATTCCGTCGCGCCTGGGCCAAACTGAACACCGAGGTATGTGGCACGCGGGGCAATCTTTATGTCCGCCCAGCAAGGAATGCGCTCCTGCAGAAATGAGCGGACTCTGTCCGATACATCGGGGGTGGGATCTGCCCCAAAAGGAACAATCATCGTCTTACTTGTTTGCAATGTCCAGCACGCCAACGTCTCCGCACGCTCAAAAACGGAGCAAGCCCTGGTCAAATCTTGCAGGCGGGGCTGGACCAGCCCAGCATCGCCAGCACAGCCTCCGACCTCCCCCCGACACGCACCGAGAGACGACGACGAGACCTCCCCCACCAGATGGCGCAAGGCCGGGTCAACCGCCATGGCCCAGACCGAGCCTGATAGTGGACATCCTGGCATTGCTCCTGATCTGACGTGAATAAAAAACTGCTGTGATCTTGGGACCTTGGCAAATCCCAGGCGTGCCGAAATAAAAGGAAGCAGCAATGGAATTGATGTGGCTTGCTGGAAGGCCAAAGCGTTCGAGGACCGACCGCCACCAGTCATGCCCAAAGGATGGGAAATCAGTGGCGATGTCAAAGGCGACGAGGACAGGAGCAATCGCCGCTGCACATTTATGGGCGCTGGCTCGGCGCGAAGCCGCATCGAACCTCAAGGTGCGGCCCAAGAAGTTCCTACCTGGCACGACACTCTGTTGGACTTCGCGCGTCCTGGCCCGCGCCAAATATTTAGCCTGTGGTTCGCAGCAGAGGCTAAATTTTGTGCGTCTGAATTACGCAACGAAAGAGGCCGAATCTGCGAGGGTCTCCCAATGCATTCATATGCATCGAGAATCTCGCCACCCTGCGGCAAGAACGCAAAGAGCGAATCATTGAAGGGCTCTGGGGTGCAGCTGCCAACCGTGAGGTGCTGCAGGGGCCAGTGGGGGAAGCCGAGCTGGGCCTCGGAGACCATTCAAGCCTTGTAAGGGGGCCTATCAGGACCAGGGGCACTGTGTCGTTCACGTTCGAGGGTCTGGCGTAGGTCTACAACGCTGGGAACCGCCGCGTCGGCCATGCTCTGGGCCGGGCAGCGCCTGCCGAGGCGCCTGTGGATCGCCAGATCGCCCACCGGTTGCGCCCGAAAGACTTTGGACCCGAAGGGGCGGAGCGCCTCTTGGGTCTTCTGGGGGCCCCTGTCGATGGCCTCTGGAGCGTCCTCTAGGGCGCGCTCTGGGCGGAACCCCGCTAGAACGACTCGGCGGCCCCTCGGTCTCCACATCGTGGCTATCTGGCGGATGGCCTTGATATGTTTGAAGTGGCCTGCTGCAGCTTGGTGGCGTCCCGCACGCCAGGCAGCTTGAGCAGCTTGAGCGGCGCGCAGGCGGTCGGTCTCCAGCTCTGCAGCGCGCATCGACCCGAACTGCCTCCGAAACCCGTCGGGGGAATGAAGTTGTACAATCCCATCTCGAACAATCAAGCAACGCTTGCCATCCTCCGTCGCCGAGATGGGTAGAGCGGCCAGCTGAGTATCCTGTCGCCAGACTGCCGTCGAAATACTGCGCAATGGAATGCTGTGCCCCCCCACGATCTCGTTTGTCGCCTTCGCGGAAGGGCAGTCGCTGACGTCCATCTCTGGTTTGTTTGGCAGCCTCCAGCGTCAGCTCCGTCATGAATTGCCATTGAAGCACAGGAGAGAAGCGTTCGAGGCCGGCTGCAACAACGAGTCCACCGAGTATATCATTATACCTTACGTCGGTGAACACCACGTCTGGGATGTGCTGGCCATCGGCAATTGATGGCGCCTCGCTGTTCAGTACGAGGTGCAAGATCGAGTGGTCGCTGAGCCTGGACTGCGACATCTCCATGGGGTCCTCGTCGACGGTGAGAAAGGTGTCAGAGTCGAGGAAGTAGTGTTCTGGAATGCCGATGGAAGTGCGGTCGATCGCTGAGGCCGCGCAGCGCCGCCTACTGAACTGCGTCAATATGTTCGAGCGAATCTCCTGAGTGAGATCAATATGTACGCGCCAGGAAGATTCGCCAGGCTGGTAAGTGCGAGCACCAGGTAGTGGAGCAGCCGAGGGCAGCGGCTCGTCGTAGCTGGGCAGCGCCCCCTCCCTGGCATTGAAGCCGCCCATCGCAATGAACATCCGAACAAGGGGTTCCTCCTTATTCCAATCGACAAAGCCGCGCCAGGAGAAGGAGACGGTCGGCTTGTCGGCAGGCGAAATGTCATAGTTGTGAACGCGCATGATCTTCATGGCCACGCTAGTGCCTGGGCGGCGCAAAGAGGAGCGAATCGACCAGGCACAAGTCCATGAAATTAAACGTGTGGACGTTGGGCGTCTTGTAGATCACGTGGCCAGGGAGGAAGAAAAGCCGCTCCCACCTTCGCGCGCTCGCGATGCCTGAGAGTGGTAGACCTTGTAATGGTACGCGGAGCTGCCGATGAGCAAATCTAGCTGCTGTCGAACACCGTGTGTTTCCTGGGCGAGAATGAGCGCCCCCTTCTTCCTGTGGCGCTGGAGCTGCAGAAACTCATGGTGGCGCACGGCGGGCCTTGTGGCAACGCAGACCGCGAGCGTTCCGAGCGCCTCCATGCGGTCCTCGCTTCAGCCACTGGCTCCAGCTTGCGCTAAGTCGACCACGTAGCCGCGTGAATTGACCAGTCGCCCGGAATATCCGTTGGAATTATGTGGCAGCTGTCTGCTCGCCCGTGCCCACGCGACGAACTCCAGCTCCATCTGAGCGAAGTTGCGCAGCAGCAGCTGCGCCGTTGCCGACCTCCGCAGAGACGGTGGGGACAGAGCCACAAGGCGCGATCCTGCCGTCGCCGATCTTGCGGAAGAGATGGCCAGCATGTCGTTCAGCGAGCATGCGAACAAGTCGTATTTCTGAAGTTCGCGTCGATGTTGTTCGGGGTACTTGTCCACATTGATAAGCAGAGGGGTGGTGGCGCCATTCGTGTTGTTCGCTGAGAAATTCCCATACTGCCCACCTGTGCGTAAGTTCTGTGCCAATGATGCACTTCGCGAAGATGCGGCTGGTCCTCCCAGGACCTGCAACAATAATCGCCGCGCAGGTACGTCTCCAACCGATTCCACATCAGATAGCGCCACTCCAGCCGCGGTAAACCAAGGCCCCAATGCTCGAACTTCAGTGGCTCAATGACTGATGGTGCCCCGACGGTGTAAAGGCGTGGGACAGGAGGCCAATCTCAGACGGCAAGATCGGCCATGTCCAATGGAGCTAAGGCAGCCTCAGCCATGGCCAGGAGCCAGGGATGATTGAATACGTTCCACATCTGCACGTAGCCGCTGTTGCTCCTGTTCAGCAGCGAAGGGGCGCTGGTTGAGCTCCCTCACGGTGGTGTCGAGGACGTCGATGCGCGAGCTCTGCTGTCGCAGATGTCCCAGAGCGACCTGGGGCTCTCCATGTAGCGCTGTCTGAGCTGCTCTAACGAGCGAACTAGATTCTGCATGAAGTCGCGCGGTGGCCAGCTACATCTGCGCCTGGAAGAGGTCAGCGAGGCGCTGCTCCAGAGAGACTCCTGCACTTAGAGTAGGGGGTGCTGGTGGGAGAGGCTGCTGTTGTCCTCCGCGCCCTGCAATGGGGGCGCCCACTGGCGTGGCCGATGCCGATGTTCCCCACGGGCTACGCTGTTGAAGACGATATCGCGGCGGTTCTTCGCCGAGAACGGCGGCGAAATCCTCGACGTCTTGCGTCGGCCGCTGTCCGTCCAGTAGCTGTTGAGCTCGCTGTTGTAATTGAGTCCGAATTGCGGGGCCTCCAGGAGCACCGGCGCGCTGTTGAGCGCGTTCTCTGTCTCGACCTCGGCCGTCGCGGTCATCGCGTCGACGCCGTTGTTCCCAATCATCGCGTCGTTCCCTATCA